GCCCCTGCTATGATCAGTGCCTCAGTGCTGTCTTTAGTCCAGCCCTTTCCAGCCACTGCTAGGCTTTCCCAGTGTCAGCCACCTCAGCTATCTGTTGGTGGTACATCCCATGCAGGGTCTTGTCTTGCCTTGGCACTTCCTCTGCTTGAACTTCTTCCTGTGTCTGCTGCTGTCTCAGGCATTCTCTCAACAGATCATCTTTGGGTGCCATCTTACTGATGTACTCCTGAATGCTCTTGGTTTTGTCCAGGACAGTAAAGGATGGAGAAGCTGAAGCATTCCAAATATTGTTGGACTATAAATCCTATCATTCCAGTCCATTGGTTATTCATCTAAATTAATGAGAGTTGAATGCCAATTATATTTTGGTGATTCAGCTATTATCTTGAGCTCCTTGGCAGGATAAAAGTTTCATTTTTTAAATGAGTGATAGATTTGATTAATGATTAGTAATACATGTCTACACAGAATTAAGAGCCCTTGATTCAGTAGGCTGTGGTCTAAGAAATTTAAAAGACTGGTTCACTGTGGGCCTTATTTAACCTTATTAAAGTCAATGCCAACTAATCCTTAGGTTTCTAAATTATATTAGTTCATTCACTGTAAGTTTGCTTTTTTGAAAAAAACATAGAACTTAAAAACTGCTGGTGTTCATCTTTCTAAGACAGTTTTCTTCTCATTCTCTGGGATGCTTCTCTGTTAGGACAATGAATTTGCCTTCTGCCCAATGAATGTCAAGCTGTCCTATAAAACGTCCCTAACCACAAACGGCCTTCCATCTTAAAGCATTTAAATGAATTATTTTTTTATGATTCATCACTGGAGTGTGTTGCGAGAAATACTGCACCATCTATCTGAGTGGAACTCTGATGGTAGACTGTCCTGTCTGGCCAAAGATCCTGCTTCCAGCCCACCCTTACATACCCCCAGAAGCAGAATGAAGGCATTTTCATCCGCTGTTTACACTGAGCTGAACATAACAACAGGAACACCATTAGAAAAAGGCCATATAGGAATGTACTGCACAATAGCATGAAAGCTCGTGGGATCTATTCACTATGCAATTAGTAGTTAAATTATTCCCATCTGTTGACAGGAAGGTTAGCTGAAGCAACTTGGGGTAAGTCTTTGCGTCAGCAGTGTGCCAGAGGGTGGGGATAGAGAACTCTAAAGCAAGCCATTTATCATTTATTAGGGTAATGAGATTTTATTAATGAAGTTTTTTCAGTGCTTTTATAAGCTCAGCCTACTCCAACACTTAGCTGAACTAAAAATTGATCAATTTTGTCTCTGCTTTGTTATTGCTAAATAATATATTTTTGACAAAAATCTAGCTCATCTATTTTATTTATTTACTTATTTATTGGATTTATAAGGCTGCCCAAATCAAGCAATGTGACTCTGGACAGCTTACAGCAAAAAACAAAGAGCAAACCAATAAATAAATAAATAAATAACCACGAAACATTAAAAAATCTACCCAATATCTGAAATATAAAACATGGCATGGTTTTGTTTGGTTTTTCCTTTTGGGAAAGGCTGAATGCTCATTTATTGCGGCCAGGGCACTTTTCCAAGAATAAATATGAATCAGTTGTAATATGCCTACTTGTAGAATGTCAGATTCCAGTTCCAAAGGAAAGAAAGATTATGTGGGCCAGATTCATCCATCACTGATGTAGTGCAACTGACTGATTAGCTATTCCTTTCCTTTCCTTTCTCTCTTTCTTGCCGACCATGACAGGAGCTGAATTCTAAACTCCGCTCACTTGGCAAGGTGGAATCTATGAGACTGTTAACCCTGACCACCCAGCTTGTTGAGGAGAAGCTACCAGCATCTGAAGAGGAAGACATTGCAAAATATAAACAGAAACTTAAGGAGTGGGAGAAGGAGCAAACAATGCTGACTGAAAGGGAGAAAGAGATGAAAGAAAAAGCCAAGGAAATGATGGAAGCCCGAAGAAAAGCACATGCGACTACATGATGCTGCTGCTTATAGATTTCCATTATGTCTTAGATTGTCTTGCAATAAATGGAGTCTCATCCAGGCTAGTACCTTATTGCAACACAGTCTTGACTGTACACAGATTAAATCTTTACACATCCAGGTTATATGTTGTGTTCCCCCTGCACCTTGTTTGAAATCTATCATTATTACTGTTCTTCTGAAAGTATCTTTTACCTCTGTTGTTTCTGAGAGCAAAGGTCTGTCAATTAATTGAATGATTCCTCTTAAAACGATGCTTGGGTGAGACAGTACATTTAGAAGCACTGTTGTCGTCGTCAGCATACGCTGTTTTTCATGATAGTGACTGACAAGAGTTGCTGGTTTAGAAATCAGAGAAAATAATAAATAAATGTAATTTGAATATGTACATATATTCATGCGTATTCCATTATTTCTATATCAGAACATGGTTTCCCAACCTTTCCAACTTAAGTTCAGAGAATCAGAAATAATCTATTCTCCCCTGATCTGTAAATGGTATTAATCTGGATCAGCTTTTCTCAACCCTTGAAATATGTCAGACTCCAATTCCTGTTACCACAGCGAATGTGACTGGGAGAAGCTGATGAGGACTCTGCTTAGGAAGGCACTGTACACTCTTATAATATAATACAGTAAGATCTCAATAAAATAGGTCTGCTCATTTTGTATGTCAATCTTCCTCCCAAAGTTGAAATTTAAATGTAAAACTAAAAATGCCATTAGGAACTAATACATCTGGAAGAGTGCAATAAAATTAGTTCCTGATCACTGATTAATTGTTTTATATTTGTTTTTAATTGGCATTGTGTATTTTGCTTTGTATACCTCTGTGTACTGGGTTATTGTATCCCACCAAGGCTAACATTGTTCAAGTTGGGCAGCTATATTAATGCTTTAAATATAATATAATACAGGTAGCCCTTGGCTTATGTCCATTCATTAAGCAGCCAGTCAAATTTGCAGTGGCACTGAACGAGTGGTACTTATGACCAGTCCTTGGAGTTCTGGCTGTCACAGTGTCCCTGCAGTCACGTGATCATGATTTGTGAATTTCCCTGCCAGCTTCACACAAGCAAAGTCAATGGGGAAGCCAGCAGGAAGTTGGTAATCACAGTCAGGTGAGGTCCTTGCTTTACGTCCTGCACAGTCCTTGCTTTACAACAGCAACTGGGACTGCCAGAACTGCCGTTGCTAAGTGGCGCGGTCACATGACATGCTTTATGACTCTGTTGCTTAGCAATGGTAATTCCTGTCCCAATTGCCATTGTTAACTGAGGACTACCTGTATATTACATTACATTATGCCAGGCAAGCTTCCTTGGGAAACATTCCAGAGCCAGGAGGCCACCACGGAGAAACCCCTTTCTTGCTGCTACTTTCTAAGAATGACAGAAACACTTGAAGTTGTGCATATGATCTTAATTAAAGACCAGCTGGGACAGGAACATTTGGGAGGAGTCGTTCCATCAGATACTGAGATCTATCTTATACCGATATGTGGACTGAACCATAGTAACTATTGATGGGAATTGCCCCCCATCATTCTAGTTTTGTTGGAATTTCAACTTTATCCTTTGCTGCAGTTTTGGTTTCTTTCTATCTTTTCTGTTTTACAGAGTCCTGTTTTCTGTAGGACCACCTACAGAATTTTCCTTTGCTGTCTTTTATTCAGAAAATGTCACAAATGAGCTGCTTCGGCCTCTCCAAACTTTCATCTGGCTTTCCTCATTCTAGATTTTCTAGAAATCTCTCTTTTCTATCCATTTCCTTCTCTGGTTTTCCTTTTCTTTCTCCCTCTGTTTCCTGTCTGAGTCAAATGATTAGGCAAGAATGCTAAAAAGTGTGCTTTAATCCAGTGAAGAAGAGCCAGTTTGGGGTAGTGGTTAAGGCACCAGGCTAGAAACTGGGAGACTGTGAGTTCTAGTCCTGCCTTAGGCATGAAGCCAGCTGGGTGACCTTGGGCCAGTCTCTCTCTGGTTAAGGCACCAGGCTAGAAACTGGGAGACTGTGAGTTCTAGTCCTGCCTTAGGCATGAAGCCAGCTGGGTGACCTTGGGCCAGTCTCTCTCTGGTTAAGGCACCAGGCTAGAAACTGGGAGACTGTGAGTTCTAGTCCTGCCTTAGGCATGAAGCCAGCTGGGTGACCTTGGGCCAGTCTCTCTCTCAGCTCTAGGAAGGAGGCAGTGGCAAGAAACCACTTCTGAAAATCTTGCCAAGAAATCGCAGGGATTAGTCCAGGCAGTCTCCAGGAATCAACACTGACTTGAAAGTATGCGTGTATGTGGGTGTGTATATGTGTGTGCATAAACAAAAGGCACTCATGAGGATGATGTGCTCCATAAACTGAAAATTCAACTTACCATTTGTCTGCTTATAACAGAGTGAGAATTTGTGGGTGCCGCATCATTTGTCAAGCAGGCTCTTCCTTTTGAGATGCACATATTTTTTTACCTAAAGGAAAAGCCACATCATTTATGATCAGTGACCACTTTGTTTTGCTGTTTTGGTCTTCAGCAGGATTTCCAGCAGTTGTTATGGGTTGCATAAGTGCTAGTTGCCATAAAGCTCCAACTTCTGTGAGGAGGGTCCTAATTGCGTCTCACGTTAGCTGATCTTAACTCTCTCTGCTGTTAAAGAGCAGTGCATATGTTTTTCATGTCAGGTTAATAAACAAGCAGAACTGTCAGTAAGATTTGCCACTGTTGTCCTGCAGACCTTAGGACCAGTCCTTACAGTACCAGATTCCAGAATATAATTCCTATTTTAATTCTACATGTATAAATAGTTTTATGTTTACGCAGTGTTTTGTGGTCTAAAATCTGCATTAGAAACAAATGTGGCACTAATTTTGATGGTATGTGCAGTTATGTCCAATGGATTAACTCCCATTTAATGGATTAAATGTATATAGGATTGCCATCTGAAATTAATTCTTGGTTCCCTTTTTAAATAATGTAAGCTTATTCTATGAATAATGTTTTCATTCATGAACTGCAGATATAAAGAGCATATAGTAGAATGAATATCTTATCTGGGCAATATATCCTGTACTTACTGTATTTTGCATATGTTACCAGACTATTTTAGAAGGTAGCATGAAAACACATTTTTACATATACCTGCAGCATTCTGTCTTCAAAGCAAGCCTTTTGCTTCAACTTTGCATGTCTAGTTACACATTCAGAAGATGTAAGATAATCATTTAATTTTTTCTTAATTTGATATGTAGATTGTTGATTCCAATTCACAGTATACATAAATACTTTAATGAATAGGAAAGCATATACACTTTCACTCCATTAAAGAAATCCACTGTCTATATTCACAAGAAGGAAATTAATGATTTCCTTTGGTCTCAGATCACGGTTAGGGTTTGGCTGTTCCAGAATCGGGATAACACTTTTATAGCTGGTAAATGAACATTAGTAAGCCTGTTCATATATAAATAGTGTACAGCGCCAAGATCCAGTCTCTGGACTATAGCTGATAAGAGTGCTATAGTATTTACTGCATACTGGCTTTTCTCTTGTGTGCATGGTAAATCATTAGCCCTTGTTCTCTGAACTGTTGCCCAAGATTGCACAACTAATGCCTCTTCAGTTTTGAGGATCCCTTGCTTCAGCACCCAATTTCAAGAAAAGTGAGCTAGTCAGCTGGAGATGTAACTCCAATGTGGTTAGTGGTTAAAATGTTGGATTAAGATTGAGGAGATTGATGTTCAAGCCTATCCCCACTGGGAGACTTTGGGTCATTCATCCTCTCACAAGCTTCCTAGGGCTGCCATTGGGTTAAGATGAAGATTCCAAGAGAAAAGGTGGGATATAAAATTAATAAACTTCAGTCAATCAGAAATGGCTTTCCTATGTGATAGGATATTATTCTATTTGCAAGGAGGTTTAAGCAGAAGTGAATGTTTTGCTAGAAGAACCTAGTGGCTTTTCAGAAGACCTTCCTTAAATATAAGTCTTTGAATTGAAATTGAACATACCTGTACAATGTCAGGTACTGTTGTTTGAACCTACAGGAAAAAATCCTTAAAATATATGGGTTTTGCCACTTTTTAAAAAAATGTGTTAAAATCTGAAGGATCTTGTGCCTTATGTAACCCAAAAACCAGAATCAAGGAATTAGTTCTTCCCATATAGATTATTAATCAAACTTTGGAAGATACTTTTCAACCCTAGTTGAAATGCAAACTTGCTATAATGTAAACTGTTTCTTCACTGCCAAACTGAAATGCAACAACCCCAAGGTGAGAATCTAGTTAACTTTAGTAAGCAGATTTATGACCAAATATCCCATTTTCCTGACAACATATTGAAAGGCTGTGTTGGCAAGCAGCAGTATTTTCCAGCTGATCTTCTGCCAACCAGAATTGGGGAAAGATCCAGCTTGCAACTGATAAATGTAAATCTTCACCTTGCCAAATGTATGATTTGATTGGGAGATAGCAATTGGATCAGCTAAACCTAAGGATTCTGCAGTCATGTTCATGACTGTGGCAAACCTGCCAAACAGTCACAATGAAAATAAAACCCTTCATGTGGTCATTTGAAACAGCTAGCATAGAATTTAGCTTGGCAAGTGTTGTCATAATTGTTCATTCATTTTAGTATGATTTTCCCATAGGTTCTGCAGATTCTGACAAAGTGAATACAAATTGCTAACAATATATCTTGTTAATGGTGGAATCTTTAATAGCCAGGATTTTAATCATATCAGGGTTTCATTGCTAAAGCAGTAAGTTTTTCAAGAGGTCAAGTTGGTGGGAATTAATAATACGTGGAGTCCTTGGGGTTCTCTGAGCTGGCTTGTATTCTTGCAGACGTTTCATTACCCGTTTTCTTGGATACATTTCATTATTGATAATACCATTTCACTGAGAACTTTAAATTCTAGTAGTTTAACTCCAACTTAAAAGCAAGGTAAGCAGTGGCTTTCCAGCTGTTTCCAAGTATTTAGTCAGTCAACCTGGCCAATAGAAAGAGGTGCTGGGGAGTTGTAGTTTGGCAAAAGCTGGACAGCTAGAACTGAAGGACTACAACTGTGAATTCAGTGCTTCACAAACTACCCATTGCCACAGAAAAGTTTGAGGGCATATCTGTTCATGGAAAATTATGCACAGTGATTTGTTCTTATTTATTCTAGAATAGTTCCATTAAATAGTTCCATTTAATTGTGTGGTTGTGATTTTTTTAGATGGAAATTGCATCTCTAATATACAAATGAAACAAAACAAACCCCAACAACACTTGAACTATTTTAATTTTTTATTGTGGAACTGAGCTTATTTCCTTTACATCAAATATCCTCAACGGAAGAGGGGATATTGCACACAAATATCATAAAAGCACTACATATTACTTTCACTGGAAACTAATTTTCTACTTTAGATATGACTTGATAGGATAGAGGTGATGAAGGATTATAAGACATAAAACCATACACAGCTGCAGACTGACACAAACAAGACCATTCAGAACAAGAGAGAGGAGTGTGAGGTGCTTCTCAGCCATGACAAGACTTTCTCTCCATGGTTTGGAAGAATCAAATGGCTGCAGGCCATCCTGTGAAAGCATCCTGGACTTGTAGAACTGTGCTTTTCCTGGTGTGATCACAGCCCAGTCTTGTATGAACAGAACAGTCGCTCTGGGCAACTAGAGCTCCTAAGCTAATTTAGTGCAGAGAAACAATTCCCCCCCCAAATGTTCAAGGTTTTGATGCTGCTTTCTTATTTTGTTATTTTTATAAGATCACAATTTTTTTTGTTAAAAAAAGAAGCAAACATCCTTAACAAGGCAAGCAATGCAGTTTGCAAATGTATATAAATAATTAGATCAATTTTTGTGGTTTGCTCAACTATCAAGTGAACAAGGAGCACTTACAGTTTTTTGGTAAGTTTATATATAACATTTCCCCGTTATTAGTATTTCCAGACCACAAAAATTTCTATTTTCTCTGAGCTAGAACTTATAGTTATGTATGGAGAAAAAGGCTATGGCCATTGCCCCACTAGTGAGTGACTTAAGAATGTTTTCATACCATCCACTTATCATTGAAGTGATATGAAGTCTGTCCTCATTACTGTTACTTTTGGCACATCAATGATGGGATGATTCTAGAAGATGCTTGCTAGTGGAGAAATGACCGGTGATGTAGAAAATACAGAATTAACTCCTTGAAGCTGGGAGTTCTTGGAATGTTTTCCTTAACCAAGAGCCTTCTCAGTTCTGTGTTGCAAGGTTCCTAAACTGCTTAATAAATCTATTGAAGACAGCTAAATATATTTGTATACACATTTGGATTCATTCACCACTGTATGTGAAGTTAAACACAAATCATGAAGAATGGAAGATTAATTTAAAAGGTAGTAGTTGCAGAAATTAGACCCACCATAGGAAAATGTAAAGGCATGCAAAAGATCTGTTTTAAGTTTGAACATGAGCTCAACTAAACTGCTGTCACTGAATTTTATTCAGTGGAAAAGTACTATCATAAAAGCCACAATGAGGGGAACATTATCAATGGTAACATTTTCTAGAATGCAGGTAGCACTCTAATTTTGATTCATTAATTAATCAATATTGAACCATGCTTCTAGTAATCTGTGCTGAGTAACAGAGCACAATGTCAATATTCATGGTACTTCTGATTGACTGTCACTATACTAACTGTGTAGGGCTGTGACTAACACAATTATTAGTTCCATTTATTTTGGTCTAGAGGAGCTTCCTAAAACAACAGTAACAGAAACCCAGAATTGAACGCCATTCAACTTCAGTCCTGATTGCCATTCAAAACACTATGCCTGCTTGTTCAAAAGACAATTGTTTATAAACTGTATAGCCTACTAATGTAGCCATATTCAGAAACACAAAAAAGAAAATATAGGCTTGGATCTAAAGGCACATCAACTCATGTGCGGGGCAAATGCCAATTTCATGCCCACTACATGTCCCTGTATTTTCAAAAGTATTCTTAAAATTTTCCCCAACTCTCAGGAGCAAGTTGTCAGGAAACAGAGGGCTTGAAATGGGGTTGTAATGCTAGAATCAGTGATGCTCTTTTTGTAAAATGAGACCTTTGAGCAAAGGCATATGAACAGGTTCCCCCCCACCCCGCCCAACCTGGTGGCCCCCAGAGTTATTGGACTATAAATCCTCAAATTTTGCAATCAGCATGCTGGCTGAGAATGCTGGAAATTGTAACCCACTCCTTTGGACAGCAGTAAGCTGGGGAGGGCTGCCATAAGAGAACATATATTCCCATAAAAACCAAGGTTTGCTGAATTAAAGATTAAAGTTAGGTCCTTCAACAATTTGGAGGTATAAAGAAAAGAGGGGAAGTTGACACACGAAACCAATCTGATTATATTTCTGATTCTACAATAAAATAATTACAAGAGAATCATTAATGTGCTTAAAGTGAAGGAGTGTCAAGACCAAATTTGAACCCCATTAAGGTGGCAATCCTATATATGTTTATTGGGAAGAAGTCCTATTGCACACAACAGAATTTCTGAGATGACATACGGAATTATCTGTCATGCTGATTTCAGACAATTGCTACAATGGGCCTATTGCTGTACATGTCTTTGCTAGGTTGCTACCTTTTGGAGACCAATTTCCCTTTTGCACATTTAAATATATACTTAATATTGCTTGTTGAGCACAAACTAAAAAAAAAAATTGATATAGAAGTGCCAACCTCTATGATCTAATCAGTTTTCTTCTCATTGCTTGCAATTTTTTTTTTTTGGCAAGAAGAAAATTAAACATATTCCTGCTGTGTAAATCCTTTAAATTCTGCTTAACAACAACAGAGTGGGGAAAAAAGTCATAAAACTAATTCATTGTGAAACAATGGTTAATAAATGGAATATTGCATTGTAACTGGGCAGAGCTGATTGCAATCCCTTGGGCACCCACTCAGAATAAGTCCTCTAAGTCAAACTTCCCAAACTAAGGAACTCTCCAGATGAATTTCTCCAGAATTCCTCAGCCAGCATGGCCACTGCTAAGAAGCCCACATAACTTCAAGGTGGCCAACTTGGAAAAGTAAGACAGTCATTATGTTAATGTGGTAGAATAACAGCTTTGCCCAGTAAACTCTTACATTTTAACCCACTGTCAGTACTATTGGCCTGGCTCATCCAATGTGGATGAACATATGGTTAGGACTGTATCACATTAGTGATGCTATAGAACTGTATTAGAAATATCAGCTGTTGGGCTAAGAAAGGGGATGAGGTATGGGAGAATAACATTCAGGAGTATATCAAAACTTGTAGTTATTTCTGTTTAATGCGTACTAGGACAATATTTTCCCACTTGCTCTTCATAATAAGTCTGGTTATAAATTAAGTGAAAGGACTCTGCTGTGATGTAAGCCCATCTTAATGATTAAAATGTCAGTACTAAAAATAAACACAGCATCGCAATTATCAGCTCAGCTATTCTGCTTCTTTCAAAAATACACTTTCCCCTTGCTTTTCATTCCACAATCATACCAATTTTTGTTTAAGACTTTGGACCCAACCCATAGAGCTTCCATCTATGTTGTTCCAAGAAAAATAAAGAGCTACAAGAACAGAAGTGATTCTTGGATTAAGGTAAAATAATAAATAAAGTAGCATTGCTAGAGTTGTCAAACAAAAATAAAATATTAGAATTTTTAAATGCACAAAACATAAACAATATTTCACAGCATTAATTGGGCTACCCAGCCCAAATTAAAAAGGATCTAAAGTAGTATTAAAATATATAAAAATTAGCAGTGCAAATGCACATCTAGAAAATAAAACAAAAATAAACAATGTAATAATTAAAATAAATTATATAACACATAATAAACAAAATGCTGCAATTGTCCACGACTTAATGAAATCAGAGCCTTCTGAAAACATGATTGGCATAAAACAATGCAAATTCCTATTATGGAGAGAATGAGCTTATGCAAATTCTGTACAGAGCTGCAAAGTAAAACATTAGGGATAATGGAAATATCATTACAGGTAGTGATAACATGCACTCTGGTCATGAAAGTACTATACCAGCACAAGAAATATTATTATCAGGCCTCAGTTATCACATATTTTCTGGTTTTTCCAACTCTGTTTCCATCTGTCTTAATAATGAAATTGTAGGCTTCCTGGTAGAGGTGGTCTTGAACGTTAAAAAATAAACAAGTAAGTCTGCACTAGGCTAGGCACGTTTAATCTGTTTGGGTAAATGGAATAGTGGTACGTTTGGAAAGATGAGGGAAGAACCAGAGATCCTGCAACCCTAGCAGGTGCTGTGGTGGCAGGGAGAAAGTAGTGTGGTTGCGTGCTGTGTGGTGTGGTATGCCAGCAATCACCACTCTGCTGCAGTTGCTGGAAGCTGAGGGGAGCAATGTGTGACCAGACAACCCAAACTCAGTCACACACACAGTTAATTCCTGTAATCTGCAGAAACTATGCATACCTGAATGAGTTTTGCATACTTGTTTTTCTGTGCTAGACTTGAAACGATGTGGAATATTAAATCCCATCTGATTGTAAGGAATCCTGATCAGCAGCTCTCCTTCCTGTAATTCTAGGAATTAGAACCTTTGAAGAACCTGGGGGTTGAGGTTCTCGCCAGTGGAAGTCTGTGACCAGGATTACATTTTGCACTTTTCTATGATCTCACAGAACCACAGTATATACCCTGTTCTGGTTTTACTTTGGGGAGGGATCCTTCAACTAATTCTACTTAAGACAGTGTAGGATAAAGGAATACCTAGGAAAAACTAAATCAAGATCTCTGCTGCCCAGCTAACGCTGGAGGGTTTGACAGGTGTCTCACAGGATTGCTTATAATGTCACCAAGGGCGGTTTGGTGCAACCCCCAGTCGTAAGCTGTGTTCATTGGTACTGTGAAATATTGCCACCACAAATGACTCCTTGGGCTGCATGAAGCCATGGGCTAGCCCCAAACCCAGGCTGCCTGTTTAAAAGAAAGCCAACTAACCTTCCAGTCCTTAGTTCTTTGATCACTAACACTAATATTGCTAGTGTGCTCTCCGCAAGATAATCCTTGGCAGTCAACTATGTTCAATAAATATGTTACTGCTTTATCATACTTCATTCTCACCAGAACTCAAAATAACACTATGCGTTGTCTTACAAAACTACTAAAAAATTTGCCCTCACCTGATTTTTTTTCTTTGCATTTTCCTGTAAACAAAACATGTTTAAAAATTCATCTATTAAAAGTTCGTGCAGAGCTAAAAAAATTCTTCTGTACATTTGTCCCCATATTCACTCTTAAATTAACAGTCAAAATAATGTAAGACAAAGGAAAGCTTCAAAGACTGTACAGATGTGCAGACAACCTTTTTGTAACATCCCATATGTTTTTGTTAAGTTTTGCATTTCTGGTACTGAACACCTTTTCTTTCATGCTTCCAGGAAGCAGGAAAAAAGAGAGAAAAAAAACTTTTCAAACAAGGTTTGCTGTTCAGGTGCACCAATGAAGTGTTCAACTTACATAAATAATTCATAGCACCAAGCTGTTTGACCAATCAGAGAGGTTTCCAAGAGCACACATGCACACGCATAGTTCTGTACTGGTGTAACTATAATCCTACACAGATGTTTTATAAACTTGCTATCTTGCATTAAAAAATAAGTGCATCAAGTATCTTTGTACATTCAAGTCACTTTCTAAGGCAAATTGTCTACCATAGGTACTCCCAACTGCTTTGGTATTTTGCTTCGGTAAACTTGTCGGTGACCTGGGTGTTTTAGCATGCAAGTTGGTCAAATTTGAAAGGACTCTGGATTTTCACTGGGAGCATGCCTTAGACCAATATGTCCGCATGTTAAACTGAATGGGGTTCAAACTACTTGCATATTTTGTCTAAGAGAATTATGTTACGTGACAATGAAACACTGAATGGGAAGTTGCCAACAGCAAGTCAGTGTTTCCAATGCAATGTTCCTTCAAAGCCACATTCTGTTTCACTTAAATTTTCTAGCTAAGATGTCGCTAAATTAAAAATGCCTACTTTGAAACAAACAGATCTTTCTTTCTATGGGATGCCAGACTGCAGGAGGTAAGTCACTGACTGCTTTGTAAGTAACGCAGAATTAATTTATTCTCCTCTACCCCACCCAACTCATGTTCCCTCTCCCCCCTCCTCTCTCTGTCCACCTTTTCCTCTGTTTCTTCCAAGGGCAAATGCCCCCAACCTGACAGAAGTCAGCAGTGTTTGCTAGTGCATGGTTTCCAAGTGTTCAATGAAAATGAACCTGGATCTGCAGGTTTTGCAGTAATTTGAACCCTATGGTGGGAATACTGTTATTTCCCTTAGCAATTAGCAAAGACTGAAAAAAAAAAATAGTGACTTGCATCACTCTGATACAGTATAGCATTTGGCAGGTATATATAGTTCAGCAGCTGAATTAGATGGATTATATTTTTAGAAAAAGTATTTTCAAATTGAAGAATTTCTGGAAACAAAGTTTAAAGTTGAAATGCATTGCTTTTTTTTTTTTTTTTACAGTTCAATCTTGCATGCAGGGAAAGATTCATCTTGCATAACAACAGTGCTACTGCTTGCCAAAACCATGATGTTAAGATCCTGTTGTTTCTCGTGGGTCTCTTGATACCATTCCCTCATCACCTCTGAGTCATGGGTTGGAATTAAAGTCACCTGTCATACAAAGAGTACATTAGAGAAGAAATCACAAAAGGAAGGACAAATTCTAATCAGAAATCTCACTGCAGTACTGACCCCCTATGGATGTGCACATTTTGGAATGGAAAGTTGTTTTCTGGGGCATGGTTCAGTGATTTCTGGAAGTAAATCCAGAACATTACAGAGCAGTTACTTCTGAAAACTGCCAAATTCTGCCCCCCCCCACCCATGACATCATATGGATAGGGAACAGAGCATTCTGAAGTTCTCCAGAACATGCAGTTCTCAAATTGGGGAGTTTTGCAAACCCCTATGACTGCACTACCAACCAAATAGTACGTCTTAAATACCTGTGCACAATCTTACCCAATTTGGCATCCTCCAGATGTGTTGGAATTACAACCGTAACATTCTCAGACAATCCCAACACATCTGGAGAGTGCCCAGTTGGGAAAGCTTGATCATCTGAAGGAATAACTGGACATAGGAAGACAATTAGTTGTTATGGATTTTAAAAACCAGGGCAATACCCAAGGCACCACCATCCTTATTGTATCCAGAGAAACACTACTGAGAATATTGCAGATCTATTATTTATGTACTTGCTACATTTTTATACCACAATGTTCCACAGACACTCAAGCCATCTCCTTAGATAATTTTTTCATGTCAGAACTTTTCAAAATTTTAAACTGGTGTTAGGTAATTATTGCTACTATATTTTTGTGTAATTGAAAATTTTGTTAACCATTATTTTAGATGTGTGAAAGCCTCTTTTCTGTAATTGGATCCTGCTTGGGTACAGTACTTGAGGCACTGAAAAATACCTAGGGAGGCATGCAATTAAGTAGACTTTTAACATATATATATATTGTATTTATATTGTATTTTAATTCATGTTAGTCAACCAGAATCACATTGGTGAGATGGGTGGCCATATAAATAGATATAAATAAATAATAAACATGCTAAAAGTGCAAGCATTTTTAAGGTGAGCAACTTTTTGCATATGATCTTAGAAGTTAGCTTTAGATCATTAAGCAGTGCAAATGAATTAATTATGCACACACACACAAACAAAATTTGGTAAGATATAAATCAGTTTCTTCCATGTGAGAAAAGTAGCATACACATTATTCCTCCCTACTATGATGCCCTCTGTTATCTCCAAACAGCAGGTTTATATTTCAACACAGCTGGGGAAAGTACCAGGATGGAAAAGATCAACACAACTTATTTTTGCTTAACTCTCTAAAGAAGGTTCTTCTGCTTTAGTTATTTCTTTTTAATAAGACTACCTCTATACCTGAAAGATGATGTTGTATTGGCAGAGCTGTCCAAAAATAGTAGTGAGAAGGGAATTTAAAGCAAGACATTACCACTTTCAAGCTGTTCTGCACTTACATATAGCTATAGCCCCAATAGCTAACATTTCTCTAGCTAGTCTTATGTTCAGTCTCTGAACTGGGCTATCAAGAAGAAGTGGGTGAAGGGAAATTCAGAGCAAGTAGAGAACAGGAGATGGATATAGCAAATCCACTTATAACCTTCTTGAAATCACTGGATTGCCCTTCATATTATAGTGATTAGATGATGATTCACATTTCAGTGAGACCACTTCCATTCTGTATAGTCCTATTTTTTTCAGCTCCATTAATACCTTTATTTCCATTTAAAATATTTAGTTAACCAAGAAATCTTATTGGGATTTTCCTTCCTAAAGCCCTTCAAGCAACAAACTGGAAATTGAAGAGCAGTTTTTCCATTTCTTACAATGGGAGTGAATCCATCTAGATCCATTTTTAAACATTTGGAGTCATGGTGAAAAGTTAGGAGTGCTGAGGATCATTTGAATCTTCAGTGGTCCCATTCTGCTCCAAGCACCAACCCTTTCAAATCCTTCCCAATATCAGAGTTTTGGATGTGGAAAAACGGAATTAAAAAGCAATCAGGGAAGAAGAGAGATCCAATATTAGTTTTCACTCTTCATAGTCAGAATCCCACTTTGGGAAGTGGGGAAAAACAAAGATTCATTTTGCCCCAGGATCATATGTGCTGTATCAAAGATCATAGTACTGCACAAACAGCACATGTTTAATCAATTATAAATTATGCAATCAACGCTCCTTAGTAAAAAGACAACTGTTGAAGATTTAGACATGGCACTCTTATCTCGTGATTTTAAACAAAAGTAAATTCTTCCCATTTGATACAACTTTTACTGAATTCAGATGAATAAAAGGTGGTTCTTAGCATCTTATTCTAATGGGTTTTCCTTTACTTCACAAATCCTGGAGAACATACCTGCATGTTGCTTCCCCACTGAGCTTTGCCTTCCAACAGGGAATCCAAGACAGCCCTGCTTGGTTCTTCAGCAGCAGGATCGTTACCACTCACAACATAGTAGGATGATCTCACCCTTTTGAAAAATTCTACATCAACATTCTTGCTATTGCTGTGGTTGGGAATATAGACCAGGTCCAAATACACAGGAGGTCCTGGAGGCACAGCTATAGATTTTGTTGATTTCCCATTTCCAGGTCCTAAAAAATAAAAATAAATAAAAATAAAAATCAAGGAGTCATGTCTCAATTTGTGATAAAATGGTAATATGCACTGCCTACTAATGAGAAATTCAAGTTGGACAGACTGCCATATCAAACTCCAGCTGTTATATTCATATATATTTCTTGATGATTTTGAGCTATCCCTGTGGAATTTAAGCAGTTGCTAAAATCATGTATTTGTACCATTAAAATCTACTTAGTGAATAGAACAAGAAAGTCACATACAAAAAGAATAAACTATTAACCTTATTTATTTATTTATTTGATTTATAATTCATCTTTTTTTTTTTTTTGTACAGGAACTTAAGGCAGCATTTTCAGTGTTCCTTGCTCCTATTTTCCTCCATAACTGTGAAAGAAGTTGGGCTGAGAAGTGATTGAGCTTCCTTGTTGAGGTGGACCAGAACCTGAGTCTCCCTGCTCCTAGCCTTAACTTAACTACTTAACCTTAACTACTTAACTTAACCTTAACTACTACACCATACTGGTTCTGAACATCACATATTACAAAGAATGTGAAATGTAATAGATTCAGAAGCACAAGCATCAAGAGAGAGAGAAGCTCGACTTCTGGGGACTTCATGAGCACACTACTTAGTTTCCTTGGAAAAAACTGTATGGAAATAATTTGCTCCTGCCCTTGGCCACGATGCTTTTAAAACATTCTCATTCTAGCCTATAGCCTAATATTTCCTGGGAATCTCTTATCCAAGTATTAACTAGGTCTGACCTTTTTTCAGATTAGCCAATGTTATCTAAGTGCTGTCCCCTTGCTGGGTAGGCACAAGCTGTTAGTGCATGCTAATCAAAGATGAAAAGAAAGCAAGTAAAATTAGCCTATTCTGGGCATACTGTAATAATATTCTAACACTCTATTTTTTTTTCAAAGGAGAACCACATGCATCAGTAGCCTTCCCCAGCTCAGCAGCATCCAGATATGTTAACTTTTTTTTTTTT